ATTGCAATAAAACGGCAATTTCATACTTTAACCCCTAATACTTAGTTATCGGCGATTTTGTATTTCGTAATAGTTAACCTTGTGTAAGTTTATCAAACTATTCACCAAATCGTTGACTTATTGGACACCTGTGTCAAATATCGTTTTCTCGTACTTTATTTGACATTTAAACCTTACTTCAACGACGCTTTGTTATAATCACAATTTAAAATCTGCTATCTACGAAAATGTTCACGAAATAATTAATAATATACAATTAAATTTTAAAAAACCGACCTCAAAAATTCGTAGAATTATATCTATTTGCCAAATTTTATTGAAATTGGTTACAGAAAAGTACGCGAAACCGGATTCATCACCCTTAGAGGTGGAATATTTTCTTCAAATTTAAATGGAACCAAAACTGAGGTCCCTTCTTTCCGACAAAAACGAATCATCAAAATCTGTTCACAAATTGTCGGAGTTATCGTGTAACATACACAGTTGAATTGAGAACCTCCTCCTTTTTGGAAGTCGGTTAATAAGGTAAACATTTAAGTATTGCTCGATCATTGCAAAGGTTTTGTAGTCTGTCAAAACAAAAAGCTCAAATCGTGACCTGTCTCAATCTCATTTCATCATTAAAAAAGAGCCGGAAGAAAAATTCAAACCGTCTATTTTTCGCATCGTGCTTATAATCTATTCGTCAACATTATAATTGTTAATGGAAGGAAACAATCGTTTTAAATAACTATTGAACACGAACTCGGTGATATTTTTCATGCTATTTCCCCACGTAACTGAGGCATCGCGTGTCTTCGATACAGTGGCTGACCGGAGATCCATAACGCTCAAATTACTTGCTCTACTATGACATAACAATTGGAGTATACTCGTAGTTTGAAACGCTTGCATTAATGGATGTAAATTGGCACAGAAAAAAAAAGTACAGTTGTAACAACAAATATTGAAATATTCATGTCATATTATTAAAACCCATGTTAATAAAATAATGCACAAGACGTTAAAGTTTTATTTCCGTAAAACTAAATTAATGTTTTGTAAACTAAAGAGTACTAAAGCGTAATTAATTCATATTAATATTATAATAACATCGCATTTAAAATATTTTTAAATAAAAAAGCTTTGTATTTTATAATACGATTGGTCCTTTGTTTTAATTATAAATAGCCTATGCCTTCGAATCATCTAAGAGAAAACAAAGTCCATGGCTTATTCAAAAATAATGTTGAATATAAAATCTGCCAAAAATTCTTTTTCGTTTTGTCTCGGGTTAAATACAATCGTACTTACGAATACATTAGTTGTGCTATTAGATGCAATACTGTTGTCTAACCGTCATAATCATTACCTCATAACGTTGTCGTGGCGCTCGCGCTACGGAAACGTGCATCAACATCGGATCAGATAGAGAAATCTGTGAATCACAGACTAACGCGATGGACGAAGCACTCGAACATTTCCGTCTTATGAATGTAATGTGAAACGCCTCCACCTCCCCAGGATGTTCTAATACGCAATGAATGAGGAAGACTTTTCCTGTCCTTGCATGTCTTACCTATATTTTTAAAGGAATTACAGAAAAACGTCAAACAAAATGCTTAAATCACTGTAGTTATAACACCCCTGGTACTTTATGCAGACAAATTATTATTAAAAATATGAAGCGTAACAGATGTAGAAATTTTATTATCTGACCTATGCGACTATATGCAAAAATTGTGTAAAAATGATATGCTAATGCGGTCAGTCTACAATTATATTTTAAAAGACCAATTCGTAATGTTTCCTAACCACGTACTAGATATCACTGCATTTTTCAAAATAAAATTTTATCAAAATAACTGTAGCAAGTACTGGACGTTCGTTACATGCCTAATTTCAAGCAAAAAACGACAATTTATATTCTAAGGTCGCGGTTTTGTGCATTGCCGGTGTAAGGTTGTAAATGGTTTCGCTGTAATTTGCAACATATCGTTCCACATTTTTGTGAAATGTTCCACCGAACCGCGCATGTGCAATGTCGACATTCAATTAAAAACACATACTTGTTGGACTTAAGATGCTCTTTACTGTACACGTGACTTCAAATTGCACAATTTAAATTACATTAAAGGTCGATCTTATGAAATAAATCAATATAGAAAGTTGCAATCACTGTTGATGATACTTTACCTAAATTTACCTACTTGCATTGTAGCTTCATTTTTATCTGTTCAAAGTACTTCCATCTACTGTAAAATGTTAAATTTTAAATTTTAATCATCAAAGCTGCTATAAGCTTTAGCTGGAGTTATAAAAATGTTTCCACGAAAAATGAATTAACAAAATATAACCTAATGTAGCGTGTACATCGCCTCTGTTTAAAAAAAACACGAAGGTTGTGTGGACAATGAATAGTTATAGCCACAATACAAGGCGATTCCGAGTCCTTACCTTACCACGACAATTTCACGTTACTCGACGCGGTCGTAACCACGTAACCGTACTCTACAATTACGTTACTGGTTTTTCTGAAGACATTGGCATTGAGCTCGATCTTGTTTCTAGCCTTTTTAGGTACCTTTGCTTCGTTAGGAGGTTGTTGAGTAATGAAAGAGTAAAAAAGCGGTGGCTTTATTTTATTTACTTTATCTTATACGTATTTAACGTAATTATCTGAATTAACGGACTTGCTTGGTTACTTCAACCGTGATTCCGGTTGGCCATAGCCTCATAAATATCAACACGCAACGTGTGACAATTTTGTTGTGAAATTTAACGTTTTGTGGTTTGCTTTGGAAATTATCTTAAGTTCGTATAAATTGCTCCAATGCAGCATTGTGACTTATTCGACATTGCATTTACCTGAAGTATATCAATCGCTGTATTTTATGAACACGTTAATAGCTACAAGCATTGTCTATTACAAAAAAAATGTGATATCTTAAAAAGTTATGGCAATTACACAGAGATAATACTCTGGCACAAAGTGCATAGGTGTACACTTAAATAAAAGCACATATATGTTTGAGATAACCAGTAAATTTGCAATTCCAATTATCCCGAGTCAACCTTTTAGCATTTTATGTCTCAGGTTAACGTTTGCCAACAAATTATTTATTAATAAAACTATGTAACATTTTCAAAAGGGTCAGTATTGGTTTGGGTTTATTGAGAAGAAGTATGTAGAAAAGAGTAAATATACCCCTGAAACTTTGCTTATGTGGCTGTCACAGTGGTATTTACATAGCTGCCTATTTACATAGCTAAATGGTGATATTTACATAATTTCGCAAGTTAACACATTTTTAGGTTCTTCATCATCAATTTGTAGAATTTTGATAGAAATACAGTATTTAATTTGAAATATAATATTCCCTTTTTCTCTTGGAATAAAGAGAAACCTGAAAACTTGCACGTTTCTATAATGGTACGGAAATTTCATTTTATTGTCGTCTTGATCATAAAAACAAAGTTTTTGCAGGGAAATAAATTGAAAATGATACTCGTAACGCAAACATAAGATTCGTGTTACATGGTGTTTACTTTTTAGGCTGTTTATTTTTCAAGTATTCTATGGTATTTAATTATTGTAAATATAATTTACACGGTAAAATAGTTCAGAACTAATGCACCGTGAAAACTAAGATAATTATGGAAACAATAATAGTAACAATAAGATAAAAAAAAGGAAAAATCCCAAAGTAGAAACGATTTTTAATTTTAAACTTACCGCATAAAATTAACGTCAAAAACCCCATCTTGTCCGTTTTCAATTACATAAATAATATCCAATGAACTGTCAGTAAACTTTTCATTACAAATTTTCACGTCACTCGATGTTCCCGCGCACAGTTAAGACTCGCGCGTGCGTTTTGGCTCGCTCCGCGAAAGAAATAACCGTAGTCTAGTCCGCCGCTGCATCCACTTCGTTCAAGAAAGGCTTTACATGTTTACGCACATTACAAAGTAGTTATATATATGTTGTAGTTATATATGTTGTATGAGATATTGATTTTTTTATAAGATAACAATAATACAGATTGAAATATTACAATATCCGAGGTCATTGATAAATATAACAACTTTATATATATAACAAGTTTAGTGCTAGTGCTCATATATTTAGTGTTATTTAATAACTTTAATATTAATGTTAAAAAATAGACAAAATGGTTGAAATTCATTGACAAATAAGATGTTTACCTACTATCATTGAGAAATCAGAAGTTAGAAAGAAACGGCAATATTTGTTTTTTGTCGTCACTACCATATAAGCTACATACCTACTATTGCATATATGATGGTCGTTTAGCTAATATGGAATGAGCGTCTCTAAGTGGACTTGCCTCTAATAGCTCGTGTTAGTTAAGATGTCGAAAACTGAATTTCAGGGTTCTTTCTATCGTGTTCATGTAAATAGATTGAAGTGAAGTTGCGACTTCAGTCAAATAACTTTCCTAATAACAATTTACTGAAATAAAAGTAAGTATAGCACCATTTTAAATTAAATAATTACGCACATTGTGGTTATACACGTATCTGTTTTGAAATGTGAAAGTGCGGGAGTCCTGGTACAGATAAACACTTACTTAAAAGGAGTTCCGAATCTAGACTATTGTAAACTAGGGGTAAACTGAAGAAAATGAATTTTTTGCTTATTGCGTTTATATTTTTTAACGTTGATATATACTTTCTTTAAATTTTCATAAACACAGTTACTGGACGTTTTCATTAAATTGAGTAGTAATATTAAAAGAACATGAAAATAATATACTAAGGTTCATTTATTCGATGTAGGTAGGCACTATGTTCTTCATTTTTCATTTCAATTATCGTAGAATTTCGGTTAACGACTCTTAATTGCCTAAAAAGTCATAACGGGAATAGGTACTCCTTAGCTCCATAAATACTCAAAACTAGATTTCACTTACAATTAAAAACCTTCGCCAATCTATCAATGTATTATCTATCTGTCTATCTAAAAACAAAACTTTATCTCTTGCATACAATAAGGGAAAAACACATACGTAGAATAGTTTCCCACAGTTCATTTGTAAAATAACCTTAATGTATAAATTTCGTTTTAGTGGCGTAGTGATTGTGTACGCATGGTCACTGCGTTTGTTCTGAATTTCCACTGTACGTTACTCACGGCACCATAAACTAATTTTAATAGGAACTATTTATAATATTTGTGTAAGGATTCGTGTGGCCGTTCGTACCTATTGTAATAAATTCATTTTAATACATTAATTACGGAAACGTGCTCATATTCATTTTTTACAAACAAGTATAAGTGAAAAACTGCGGTCTTAAACGACAAGGTCCTATATAATCGCCAGACAAGGATTTTTAGTTGTATTGAAAAATGAAATGCATTCTTCAATCGTATTAAAATAGCGCTAATGTATGTATAAGTTCCTGGAGGTAGAGCTGCCATTCCACAGTGACTAGTGTTTGTAACAATATTACAGATAGCTCGTATAATAAATTTAGTTATCTATATTATTATTAACATTAGTCTTAAAAACGATCTTCGTAGCTTTCACAACACAGGGGTACAGTCAATAGCACATCAAGTTTGACATTTTAGACAACGGTCCAGAGAACGTTCTTATGGTAAGCTTCATAGAGTTGAATTTAAATATTAAGGAAGGTACTCACTAGCGAGCTGTAACCGTAACCATTGCATGTTATGTTACCCAAAATCATAGTGTGTACTTGGTTCGCGAGCTTATCACGAGCGGAACGTGTGCGGCAGTGAGCCGACAATAACCAGACGCTCGTTCTAGCGAGTAAAGACTGTTTAACGCGTGCACGCTATAAGTCTGTGTAACGTAGTAAATTAATAATATTTTATTTATTTTATTTAGGATGTATTCGGAAGAGTCCCGTGTCCAACAGTGGAACGTATACCTTAGAGTTATCGAACGAGGAATGCGCGCGAGCCATTTTTTTTATAGGCGACAACTGGTTCGGTTCCTCGCCCCCTTTGCGGGGTATCAGGCAAGCCGCTGTCCCGCTACCGCTTGGACGACGGCTCACTCCAAAATCTATCTTGAAGAGAGACGCACGCGCATTTTCTCGTAATAGCGATTTCCGCAAAGTTAATATTTTTTCGTAATTTAAAGTATTTAAATCGTTTGTGTTTTTAAACCCACTTTTTTGGGTCCGAGGTTCCGGTACCTTACTACCGTTCTCCTCGTCGGCTGGCCTGAGCCCAGAGAGCGACATCGTGCCCCGGACATCTATCCGGCGGACACTCACAACCCGCACCCCCGGACTTCATTTCGGCGGACGGATCCGTTCCTGTCCCGGTTACTTCAACCCCGGACGTTACTTCGGCGGAACAGCCAGGGGAGTACCAGCTGCAGGTCGTAGGAAGGCAAAAGTTCAGTGAATAACCGTTGGGTTTTAAAATAACGAACCGCGCCCAAATAAATTTTTGTTTACAAGGGTATTCCTTCTTTTATTTAGTTACCCCGTAACATCTGTCTTTTTCGAAAACGAAGTAAAATGACAGTAAAAAATGTAAAAAAAAATTAAAACAAGGAATTTAGTCTTACTTGTTCCAATAGATTTCAACGACTCAAATTCTTATGTAAGCATGAATATTTTGTTTCTGTCCCGCGCCATTGATTCCTGTAAAATACGGGACTGGAATTAGACTTTTTATATCCTTCACATTTAAGTACCTATAGTCTGTCTTTTTTTAAAGACGGAGTAAAATGACAGTTCATTGCGCGAAAGTGTTGCCTGCTTGTGAACAGCTTGTAATTGCAGTCGATAAATATTCTATCGACTATCGACTGAATGTTGGTCACGCTCATGGAATAAATAGCTGAACTTGTTTCATTTCAATCATCCTCGACCATCCAATTACAGAGCACCAGTTCATTAGAATTGTTAATTTTTGCAAGTTCATACATGCACTGTATTTAGAACTATGTTTATGAAATATACAAAGAGGAGACGTATTTTAAAGTGTTTCATTTTAATTCAATATAGATCATCAAATCCGGCTATTCTTGTCAAAAAGTATATGTATAAAAATTGATCTCGTTAGTAGTAGGCCAACTGTCAAAATAAGAATAAAGAAGGCAATAACGCAATTAGTAATCATTAGAACGTCGTAACATTCCCCATTCAGTAATTATTGGCAAAATTTTATCTTCTTTCACAATCTATCGATAAAACTATCGACAACAACTACATAACTATATACTAAAATTGTAAGAATTGACAACCTTAAAAACGTCATTTTATTCCGGCTTTAAAAAAGATCGACTATAGAACATGGAAGAAAGAAAATAATGGAAATGGCATCAAGCGACATTAGTATCAAAACCGATGTCGCCATACGCACACATTTAAAAACGTAATTTTACATTAGTACTAAGATAACATAATTTTGATTGGTTCTAAATTATCAAACGAAATAAGACAATAATAAAAAACTTTTGGTAAAAAAATGAAACTTATTTGAATCTAATAAGGATTTATTATTTACTAGTCACATAAAGCTAAGAATCCTATGAACATCAACTTCTTGGAACAAAAGCAAAAACTTGACAATCTACAGATAGGGATGTGACATTTAATTGATATCGACATTGTGTTTCATAACTAGCGGAATATTGCTTTATACTTGATAAAGTTAGGGTTAACCACGGAGTACATGGAAACGGCATTTAAAGCAATTTCTTGGAAAACTAGCGTAGCTGACTTTTACATTTTTTGTTACCAAATACGCATAAGGTTTTACTACACGCAAATATTAATTGATATTAACTACGCAGACGTGCTAACTATGCTACAATCACAGTATTGATGATTTATTACATTGTCATCGTACTTACATTAACCTACTAGATTTCAAGTCTATCCGATCACTGGAAGGGTTGAATATTAAAACACAGTCATCATAAAACACCTCAACACCTACAACGTCGACGTGCTTGTCAGGAAAATGAAGATACTGATTTCCGAAAGCGAAGAATCGAATCATTTGTTTCATGAAAATTTGACGAAAAATAACTGACAATGCTTCAGAAATGTTTTCACATTTAGATGTGGTCTATAAATTATGAAGGCGACTCTGACTTTCATGTCATATATTACCTGATTAACCAGATGATTTATATCTTAATGAATTTTTCTGTTGTTATTCTTATGTATATAATGGATGTCATAAAATGTATATAGCAAATGATGCTATATTTAGTAGGTACCCAGCTTTTTCTGCCTGTTGCTTCAGCCTATTTCTCCTTTAAAAAGGATCCAGCGGGAAAGTAAAAAAAAACAATACAAAAACTGGAAATCTAAATCATGCCTGTGATAAAACTAAGAACTCAAACGGATGAAGGTGAGGTGGTATAATAAGCAAGTAGGGAGATAGGAATCATGTAGACAAGGGAAAAACATCTCCACTCTCAAAAAGTCTTCATTTGATACTCCACGAGCTTCGTGTATGGCAAAATTGTCGATACTGTACCTCTCTATATCTATATCTGTATTTCCTTCTTTTCCATTAATATATCGTTTTTACTTAAATAGAAAATTAAAAAAAAGCTATTGCGAGTGTTGGGACTAAAACATTTAAATAATTAAAATTGTTAGCTTTTAAATACCTGTAAACAATTTATGTTCACACTTAGGTACCGGTAGATATAATAAAAAAAATTGATCTAAACCAAAAACCGGGTTTTTAAATACAGAGTTTCTACATATTGATAATTTGATTACAACACTCAGTAGCAAGCGGAGTACGTCGCTAGTGCAAGCAATTCATTTAGCGTCATTCGGCGGCCATGGCTAGCAGCCAA